ATGTTACTGAACAAGAGAAGTTAAATCTTACTTCCATTGAAGACCTGGGTTTCATTGATTCTTCCTATCACTGTGGTCCTTCCACTCTGTCTATCTGTTTGCACCAGGCCACCAAAATCATGCATGGTGCTGTTGACCTCCCTGCACACCCTGAAGTGGTAGACATAGTTCTCTGTTTTGCCTTTCTCCACAGTAACATTAAACCTGCAGCAGGGAAAGGACAGAACAGACAGCTCACAGGATTACAACGAATGGGGCTGAGAGCAGCAGACACCTGAGGTCTGAAAGCCAGGCCCAGCCTGCACTGATGAGGGAGACCATTCTGCTGTCTGGCCCCACATCTTCCCCTCCCCTTGCTCCCTGAGGCCTGCAGGGTGTCCTACTGTACCTTATTTGGCTCAGGGGCTCTAGTTTCTTCAGCAGGGCTCTTTCCATCTGTGACTCGCTGCCCTCCTCACCAACAACATCACAGCTCCTCTCTTTTGCCTGTTCAGCCCCTGCAGCCACAGCCAGGGCCACAAAGAGTACCAGCGCAGCAGAGGTAGAGCAAGGCGATGACATCCTAGACACACACCACAGAGAACACAGAGAATTAACTGTTTCAGGCCCCTGAAAACTAACTTCAGGGTCACAGAGTCAATGATTGGCCACTTCCTCCTTGCAGTCCTGACAGCAAGAAGGAGAAATGAAAATCTGGAAATATTTCTCAGTTCCCAAGAACGTGAAATATGGTCTCTTGCATAGTCAAAGACAATTCACTGGGCTGACCTGGGGTTCTTTTCTGAATTTTGTCTCCGGAGCACAACAACTTTTGCTGCTGAGCACAGTAATTAGCATTGATTCAATCAGAGCAGAGCAGAGCACAGCAGGCTGAGCCCCGAAGTCAGCCATTGGTCATTACTGCATGGCCCTGAGAAGCAGATCAGCAGTTATTTACCAGCCCTCTAATCAATCTTCTTTGCAGCTCTCATGTGGAGCTTGCACAGAAGAGCCACTCATAGTCGGACTCTGTTTGTTCAAGTGCCTTAATGTTAATATTATCTTATCTTTCTAGTATAACTTTAGCTCAGAATCTGAAAGCGTTTAATAATGCTGAGCTGCAGCTTCACAGAATAGTGTTCTTCTGTTTACACAGGGGAAGAAGGGAACTGAGACACCCTACGTAGGATCCAACCACAGCGGCAGTAACGAAGACAACCATGAAATCCAGGTTTGCCTTTCAGGCTCAGGATAAAACAATGCAGGAACACTCAGCGGCTGCAGCACCACCCGCAGCGGCTCCACAGACCGTGCTTCTCCCACCGCAGATTCCAGTGAAGTTCCAGGTGCCGGCGGCGGGCACGGGCAGACCCGCGGTTCCAGGAGCGCCCGAGCGCCGGACGGCCGGGCTGCGACCCCGGGCCGGGCTGCGACCCC